TTTTTTCATCTCAATTGTAATCCCCACGGGTTTCCCATCACCAAATCACCCCTGTGCCACCACCATAGTCCCGTGCATTTCCCTCCCTCCCCCCCACCCCCCGTTTTTGATCCCATTCCCCACTCCACCTGAATGTTCAATTTTAAGGTGCTGAAATAAAGATGTCTTTGGCCCATCTTTCCCTGAAATAACCCCAAGCCAGGTAGAAGAATGGGAGCTTAGACTGAAAAATCTTTGATGAAATCAACAGATCTTATACTCATAAATCACAACTAGTAGACATACAAGAAACTGATACAACATAATAGAAAAGCCAATGCAGAGAAGTAGTGGCTGATAGAAACAAACCTAGAGAAATTTGAAATATTGCCGTTATCAGACATGAGTGCTAAATTAACAGGCTTAGCATGTTTAAGGAAATAAAAGACATGAGTGAGTATTTCAATGTAGAACTAAAAATAGAAAAAAAAGAGAATCAAATGGAAATCCCAGAATGAAAAACAATGGAAGGTTATATTTTAAATAAACATAGCTGAAGAGAGAAATCCAAAACTGAAAAGCCAGAATAAGGCATAAAAATCAAACTAATGGGCAATAATAAGAGAACTGAAAAAGAATATAGTAAACAGGTTTTACCAACTTAATACTTAGGATTCTAAAAGAGAGAGAGATAAGCAGTATTTGAAGACAAAATACAAATATGCAAGGACAGTGGCTTGATTTTATTTTTGAAGATCTAAGCAGGATATAAAAAAACTCCCCAAATTAGAAACCTACATATAGCACAGAAAGACTGTAGAAATCAATTCAAAGATAAATTCTTTGTTCAAAAGAACAAAAATAAGATTGACTTAACAGAAAAATGGAAACCAGAAAACACTGTGATTGTCTTATTTTGGTATTAAAATAGTTGTTATGTAGAATTTCTACTCAATGAAAGTATCAGATTAACCTGTAATGTCTTTTATTTCTTCCCACTCTCCATAAAATATATTATTTTTTTTAAAAGATTTATTTATTTATGCATACAGAACTGGGGTACAGATCAGAGGTGCAGGGGCAGTGAGGATTCACCAGAGACAGAGCGGGGAGCAGAACAGGCAGATGGACTAAGTACACTGCTGAGGGGAGCAGTGGGCAAGAGAGCAGAGGTCTGCGTGCCATGTGGGTCACCTATGGAGCCGGGGATCGAAATCAGACTGATGTGGCTGCAGCGAGCTTGCAGTGTTGTGCCCTAACCCGTTGTGCTGCCGGGATGGTTTCCATAAAATAAATTCTAAGGAAAGTGCTTTATATCAAAGAAAATAATGTTTAAAGGCAAGAGATGAAGGATTAAAGAACAAAAAAGGTTAGTGAATATTGACAGTATTAAGACAAAAAAAATACATTGAAGGGCTTTAAAAAATACATACAGAATTAAAATATAAAGAACAGTAGTTTAGCTGGGAGGTGAACAAACAGCATTAAAGTGTTCCAAAATCTTAGTATTATCCAGATTTCTGTGATATGAAACACCTGAACTAGCTTTTAAAACAGACCATATGTGTTAGACATTGACACCAAGAGTAACAAGTGACAGAGAAAAAAATGAGTTGAATTTTGTCAAAATTTAAAACTTGTCTGTTTCAAGAACACCATCAAAAAAGTGAACATAATTAACAATAGGAGAGAAAACACTTGCAAATCGGATATCTGATAAGGGCAGATTTTCAGAATATAAAAAGATTCAATAATAAAAAGACTAAAAAATGGGTAAGGAATCTATATAGACATTTCTCCAAAATATACATACAAATGGCTAAAAAGCACATCAAAAGATGTTCAGTATCATTAGTTGGAAATGCAGATCAAAACCATAATGAGGTACCACTTCACACATACTAGAATGGCTATAATAAAAAAGTCTGGTAGGATAAATTACAGACATAACACATGATAAGGCAATTCTATTTCTAGTAATGGAATTGTCTAAATGTTTATGGCCCTCTCCAACTCCTCCACCCCTACCCCTCATTCATATCTTGAAGTCCTGTTATTGTAAAGATGATAGTTATTACTAGGATGGGGTCTTTGGGAAGTGCTGAAGGAGAGCACCAAAACTCTCATGAACAGGATTAGTGACTTTATAAAATAAGCTCCAAAAAGATGCTTAGCCCCTTCTACCATGTGAGCACACAGAAAGGCCAGCTTTGAAACAGAAGAGGGCCTACACCAAAATACAACCATGCTAGCACACTGGTCTTCCAAATCTTCAGACCTGTGAACAATAAGCTTCTACTGCTTGATAAACTACCCAGTATGTGTTACTGTTATAGAAAGACAGTACCTAAGAGAAGCAAAACAAATGTCCACACAAAAACTTCTACATAAATATTCACCACTGCATTATACATTATTCATAAAAGCAAAAATAAGGAAATGTCAAAAAACAACTGAAATGTTCATCAATTGATGAATGTATACACAAAAGATGGTAGACCCACACAATGGAATATTACTCAGTAATGAAAAGGAATGGAGTAGTGGTTCATGGAACATCACAGATGAACCTTGAAATGTTCAGAATAGACAAATCTATAGACACACAAGAGAGATCAGTGGATGAGATAGGAAGATAGAGGCATGAAAGTTAAGAGATGCTGCATGCTTTGTTTCAGAGATAATGAAAATGATCTGAAATGGGATTACATGTGGTAAATATATAAAAGGTAATTGCATTATACACTTTATATATGGACTTGTATCTCAATAAAAATGTTGAGAAAAAGGGAGTTAAATACTCAATGCATGCTATAACATGGACGAACATTAAATAATATGCTAACTTATTTGGTGATGGGAAACCCAAGGGGACTGCAAATGAGATGGAAAAATGCACAAAAATATGTAAAAATAAACTACTAATAAAATAAACTAATGCTAACTTGCCAGTTATAAAAGACCACACATTGTATGATTCCACTTATAATAAATGTCTATTAACAGACAAATATAGAGAGATGGAAAGTAGGTTAGTGGTTGCTTAGGGTAAAGTAAAAATAGGAAGTCATGGCCCGCCCTGGTGGCGCAGCGGGTTAAAGCACTGCACTAAGAAGCTAAAGCCACTTCCACATGAGTTCGATTCCCGCCTGCCCCGGAGGTGACCTCTTGGCGTGGCAGACCTCTCCTGACTCGCCCGCTGCTCCCCTCAGCAGTGTACTTCGTAGATCTGCCTGTTCTGCTCCCGACTCCGTCTCTGGTCAAGCCTCTCACCGCCCCTGAGCCTCTGGCCTGTACCCCAGTTCTGTATGCACAAATAAATAAATCTTAAAAAAAAAAAAATAGGAAGTCACTTCCAACATGCAACAGTACTTTTTGGGGTAATGAAAATATTGTGAAATTCTGTGAATTGTGTGTGTGTGTGTACTTAAACATTTATTTATTTATGCATACAGAACTGGGGTACAGGCCAGAGGTGCAGGGAGTAAGATTCACCAGAGACAGAGCGGGGAATAGAGTAGGCAGATGGGCTGAAATACACTGCTGAGGAGAGCAGCGGGTGGATCAGGGGAGGTCTGCTGCTCCATGTGGGTCACCTCCCTGGCGAGGATCGAACCATTCTGCAGTGGCTGCAATAGCTTCATAGTTCTGTGTTTTAACCTGCTGCACCACCAGGGAGGGTCATGAATTGTATACTTGAAATGGATGAATTGTATGGTCTGTCAATTATATCTTAATAAAGGTATTTTAAAAGTACCTCTACATGACAGAGATCCCATGTAGATGCCTTGAAAAGAAAAATGCCTGTCAGCCTCCAAGTATACTAGTCCTTCACTGTCCTAGCTCCCATACTACCTGACAACAGCCACATGAGTGATCCCAAGTCAGATCATGGAGCTGAGTCTGTCTAAAATTCACAAATCACATAAACTATGAATCAATAAAATGATTACAGTTGTTTTAAATCATTAGATTTCAAGATTATGGATTACACAGCAGTAAATAACTAAAACAATAATATAAGAGAGTGAATAATGAATAAATAAGTTAGTAAAAGGGCCATAAGTTAAATGCTAAAGTATGGTGAATCTATGAAAGGAAAAAATTAACAAAAGACAACAGCAAAACTTAAGGATAAAGAAAACAAATAGTATCAGTTAAGAAATCTCTGAGTTGTTTCTTTGGTAAAGGAAGAAGAGAAAGGAAGATAATGGTTAGCACATTAAATCAAGAAAAAAAAAGAGGGGAGGAACGTAAGTACACAAAATGGAAAAGGGAAATGAAGGAACCATAGATTCTGAGTAAGGAGAATGAATAATAGGCTATTTTGTTAGGACCTATTAAATAGATTCAAAAACCTTGGCAAAATGATTTTCTGGAAAAACTATTAGTTAACAAAATTGATATTGAAAATGACAGAAAATCCAGACATGTCAATTAACACAGAGGAAGCTGAGACAATTTTGAAGAAACATAGAAAGTATTCCCATTTATGTCAGTGGTAATTTTCTTATTCCTATTATCAACATTACATAAAACATTTTGAAAGGTATCACATTAATATAATTAGACAAGAGAAAGACTAACTATAAAAACTGGGAAAGAAGAAACGATATCATTTTCAGATACACCAGATAGTTATCCCTTAAGGAATTAAGAGGGGCAACTGAAAATGACTATAAATAAGATGATCAACTATAATACTGACATAAAATCCAACAGTTTTTCAGATTATAGAAAAAGTTAAAAGGTTAAAAAGGAAGAAGAGTTGCTATCTGCAAAGCAACAGAAAAGAAGAATTAACCAGGAACTTAACCAAAATGTTTAATTGCTACATTAAGAAAAATTTAAGATACTCTGGCTAAGGAATATAAAAGGCAGCTAGACAAAATGGAAAGGTAAAATTGTTCTTATTATCAGTATTATAAAGGCATTAACATGTTTTTAATTAGACAGACTATCAGAGTTATTATAAGCACAAGAATATACAAGAAAACTCTGGAAAATGCAGGCTAAGAAGGGGATAATGCCTTAGTTGATACTAAGATACTCATAAAGTTGTGGTGATTACAACAGTACATGAATAGTCAGAGCAATAATCTAGAAGTTGAGTCCAGAAACAGACTGAAACATATGGCTTCTCAAGGCAAAGGGACACTAGGCTGGGTGAAAAAGGGGCTATTCTCAGAAACTTAGCTAGGTACAAAGTGTGCCACAAGATGCTCTACAATAAGGCCCCAATACCCACAGAGAGAGGCTGAAGAATCAGGATCCATAACTTGGAGTAATGCCTTATGTAAAGTTTAAGAACACTCACTTCTGTCAAGATCACATCATCATCTAGGTCTTCATCGTGTTGCTGAGTAGCTGGGGTGACCAGCATTGGAACCCCTTCCTCATCAGAGGAGTCTGATATAGTGATAGGTCCGTCTCTGAGATTGATCCAGTCTAAAAGCAAGGAGAGAATACTATCACTGCATAATCACAAACAAGCATAGTCACATTCAATTCCTTAATTCAATTTTGGCATAAAAGCATGAAGTCTAAAGCCATGTTCATGGCTGCTGGGGTGTTAATTAGCCCCTCAAGCAACATGTGCATCCACATTTTAAAAGCCATGTTTCCAGACTAATATTTGCCATATACATTTTAGGAATCACTAGAGAAAAATTTACAATTACTAGGCCCAAATTATCAACTTTTTTCTATAGTAATTTGGAGAAATCTATTGATAAATCAATCCAAATTCCTGATCCACAGAAATTATGAGGCAAAAAAATAACTGTAGTTATTTTAAGTCATTTTAATGTCAATTTCTTCAACGTGAGACCATGACCTTCGACCCCACCCTATTTCTCCCAGGGAGCAAGTGAAATACTATTTCATTTAAACTGACAGGTCTGGAAAACTTTCACCTAAAAAACAGCAATTTTAACTTTCCTAGAGTCAGACTAGCTAGATGCAGTAATTTTGTTAGAAGTTTCCAATTTCTTTTTGTTTGAAGGTAGATCATGTTTGATATGAGTTACTGGATAACATAAACTGATATTTTTTCCCTGTTTGCCTCCATGGGAATGTTAAAAGTTAAAATGATCAATGAAGAGAAATGTAATGAGTATCCCAGGAAAAAAATTTTTAAATGAAGAAATAACAAAGAAGACATCATTATTACAAATTTTGAAGCTCCTCAGTAAAGCTCTAAAGCCTTTCTTCTCAAGGCTAATGCCTCATGAATGTTATAGCACCTCACAATTTGAAAAGTAATCTAAATTCTATGGTCACAATTCATCACTGTAACAGAGTTCAGTGATGTCGGGAAGAGACAGTAGTTTAAAACAGGAAAATTTGTGGCATCTAAAGTCAGTATGACTTTGTCAGTATTAGTTAACCACATACTAGTTCATGAAGCTGCTCCCTAACTTGTTTAAGAATTCAGTTCAATATTAAAAAAGGGTTAATAATGATGCCTACTTGAAGTAGTATGAGGATTAGCTGAGCAAGTACCCATAAAATGCTTGTTTATTAAAATACTTGGCACATAGTAAAGCTGCCTGATTTCAAGTTCAAGGCCACCTACAATGTAGATTGATAAATGTAACAACCAATTCAACTGGGGGCTTGGATAACAGAACATTATAAAGGCTTTCAGTTAAATCTAGCAGAATGAATGCAAGTGACGATCACCATCATTTCTTGAAATGTCACTAAAATGATAGTAAAGGACTTAAAAAAATACAGTACAAAAAGAAGATTTAAACAAAATTTTGGAAAAAAGATTGTCAGATGGTTAAGTAGAAAAGGTTCAAATATACTGCCTGCAGGGGGCAGTCAACTCATGCTAACTCATACTTTAGAATCCCAGGTATTCTTGAATAAATATTCTCAAGTATTACATATTATTCAGCAGTAAAAAGGAATTAATTACTGATACATAAAACAAAGGATTAATCTTTTATTTAATTAAAAAAATAATGTAACAGCTTATTTTTACATCATTTTGTGCCTTTTTCCATCTCAGTTGTAGTCCCCGTGGGCTTCCCATCACCAATTCACCAGTGTGCCATCACCATAGTCCAGTGCAATTCTCCCTGCCCCCATTTTGATCCCATTCATCACTCCACCCCTGTAAAATGTCTCTGGTATATAGTTGTTCATTATTATTATTATTATTATTTTCTCTCAAGGGATGATCTTTAAAAAAATATATTGTACAAAAGAATTAAAGTACAAAGAGTATATGATGTACGGTTCTAGTTCTATAAAACTGTATAGCAACAAAAGTCAGATCCAAGGTTGGATGAGGGCTGATGACAAAAGGGAAGGGCATAAGGGAATCTTTTTGGGTGTTAAGGATTGTATTATCATGACTGAGATGGGTGGTTACATGAGTGTATTCATCTTACAAAACTTAATGAACTAAGTACTTAAACTATATGGATTTATTATGTGTAATTAGATCTCAATAAAGATGATTTTACAAAAGCTCTAGGGGTTAGCAAAAAAAAGTAAGAAAAAAAAGACAGCCAATAAAAACAAAACTCTGAACCTGAAGAAGAAACTCTCACAATGGATACAAAATACACAAAACTTGTATAACAGAAAAATATACTTCAACCCCTCCCCAAGTCTTTAAGTTAGGGGACGAAATTATCTGAGGAGCCACTATTGAACCTTGGATCCTACAGGCCTGGAGAATATACCTATGTAGTCACAGAGAGCTGCCACTGTTTCTATATTCCCACCTCTTAGGAGCCAAAGATTTTACTCACAGCTCTTTTTTTTTTTTTTTTTGCTTGCTGATTAGTAACTTTATAAATCTAGTTGTGATGGATGGTACTTAAATTTCATTCATGTCAGCAGTTATCACCATTTGATATAACTGTAGACTGAAGACTGCATTATTCCTGATGTTGTATGAGCTTCTACACAGGGCAAATTGGTTCATTTCAAATAAAAATATAACTGTAATATTAAGAGAGAAATTAAAAATAAACATTTACCTTGTCCCTGGTGGCAGTGAAAGTTGTTCAAATGAATCACTTCTTCATTGCTGTTTCCTTCTGCCATTTTCAAATGCCAACATGTACACATGTGCTTGCTAATACCTAAACATGGCAGCTATTCAAATAGGTCTGAAAAAGAAAAAATTAAGAATGTGGGAGTATCAAAAACTCTTCCCACACATCAGGTTTCAAGATAGCATTCTAAGCTTAGGTGCAAGAAAAAAAAAAAAAACCCTTGAGAAAACAAATTCAAACACATAGCAATAACAAAATGACAAAATATTTTTTAAAATACATATTTAAGGGGCCCTCCCTGGTGGCGCAGCGGGTTATAGCACAGCAAAAAGAAGCTTAAGCCACTTCAGCATGAGTTCGATCCCCACCTGCCCCGGAGGAGATCCACATGGCGCAGTAGACCTCTCCTGACCCGCCCGCTGCTCCCCTCAGCAGTGTACTTCATCGATCTGCCTATTCTGTACCCCACTCTGTCTCTGGTGAATCCTCTCACCCTCCGCATCTCTAGCCTGTACCCCAGTTCTGTACAAATAAATCTTTAAAAAAAAAAAACCTCATTAAAAAAATACGTATTTAAGGGCCCTCTCTGGTGGTACAACACGATTTCAATCCTCGGCCAGGGAGGTAACCCACATAGTGTGGCAGACCTCTCCTAACTCATCTGCTGCTCCCCTCAGCAGTGTATTTCAGTCCATCTGCTTGTTCTGCTCCGCACTCTAGCGCTGGTAAATCTCCCCCCCCCACACACACCTATGGCCTATACCCCAATTCTGTATTCATAAATAAATAAATCTTCATTAAAAAATGAGTCAATTTTTCAAAAATACATATTTAAAAGACAACTGATACAGAATTTACATTCAGATACAAACATCATTTAAAAAAAAAAAAAGAAAAAAAGGGGTGTGTGTGCTAAGAATAGTATCAGGCAATTCCCAAAAAAAGAAAAGTATTAAAAGATGTTCAACCTCTCCAGGCAAGGTAAGTCAGAAAATATGTTTCAAACTATCAACTGGCAAAAATGGCTAATATGTGAGAAATTGGAAAATCTTAAGAAATAAAATTCCTATAAGAATACAACACAGTTAAACTAAATAAAACTATATAGATCATTATGGGTAATTAAAAGCAATGTCAGGCCCTCCCTGGTGGTGCAGCAGGTTAAAGCACAGCACTAAGAAGCTAAAGCCACTTCAGCATGAGTTTGATCCCCACCTGCCCCAGAGGTGACCACATGGCACAGCAGACCTCTCCTGACCTGCCCGCTGCTCCCCTCAGCTGTGTACTTCGTCGATCTGCCTGTTCTGCTCCCCACTCTTGTCTCTGGTGAAGCCTCTCATCGCCCCTGCACCTCTGGCCTGTATCCCAGTTGTGCATGCATAAATAAAAAATTTATAAACATTAGATGTAAAAATACTAATTTTTATAAACTCACCAACTCTGAGGCATGGATATTTCTCAGGAAAAAAGATTAACAAAACACTAAAGCTTGAACCTGAGTTATATGTAATATTTTTTCCTCCTTTTTATAGATATTTGAAAGAAACCAAAGATGACCATTTGTTAAATTGGTTCTTTTGGGGCTCTCCTTGGTGGTGCAGCGGGTTAAAGGGCAGCACTAAGAAGCTAAAGATACTTCTGCATGAGTTTGATCCCTGCCTGCCCCGGAGGTGATTCCACATGGTATAGCAGACCTCTCCTGCCCGCCCCGCTGCTCCCCTCAGCAGTGTACTTTCTGTTCTGCTCCCCACTCTATCTCTGGTAAATCCTCTCACTGCCTGCGCCTCTGGCCTGTACTCGAGTTCTGTATGAATAAATAAATCTTTTTTTAAAAAAAAATTGGTACTTTTAAAATTTCTTCTCCCCTTTTTCAAAAAAGACAGTTGTGGATCAGGAAGATGTATATATACACAATGGAATACTACTCAGCAACCAAAAAAGATGAACTTGCGTCATTTTTTTTTTTAAAGATTTATTTGTGCATACAGAACTGGGGTACAGGCCAGAGGCTCAGGGGCAGCGAGAGGCCTCACCAAAGACAGAGTGGGGAACAGAACAGGCAGATCGACGAAGTACACTGCTGAGGGGAGCAGCGGGCGGGTCAGGAGAGGTCTGCCAGCCATGTGGTCACCTCCGGGGCAGGCGGGAATTGAACTCATGCGGAAGAGGCCTCAGATTCTCAGTGCTGTGCTTTAACCCGCTGCGCCACCAGGGAGGGCCTAACTTGCGTCATCTTTAACAACATGGATGGAGCTCAATGGGAGTATGCTCAGTAAAATGAGTCAAAAGAAAAGTACCAGATAGTTTCACTTACAGGACTAACATAGGGAAACCATATCTGAGGTAAGAAAAACAAAACTACCAGGCAAACTATAAATGAAAATATCCTGCAGGGGAGGGGAAGGAGATGGCCAAAACAAGGGAGGGAGTAGCTCAAGAGTCTATGGCGATGGTTAATGGATATCTTGGTGGTAGTAATTTTATGGGGACAACACTTGGGAGGATAAATCAAACATTGGACAAAATGAACATTAGAAAAAAGAGAGACAGTATGCCTAAAGTCAAGATATTGCATCTCCATGGACCAGCAACTGAACACAAACATGCAGACTAAGAAAGGGCCTATAGCTGCAGAACTATGGGATTCCGGGGCTGAGAAAGAGGAAAAACTGTTTGAAATATGGACTAATGAAAATAAGCGACCCAAATCCCATGTTTACTGGGGAAATGGGATGGATTAAGTGAGAGGTGGCATGAGGGAATCTTCTGGGGTGACAGTTCGATTGGTAGTAGTCACTTGGGTACATACATTTGTTAGATAACTCACTGAACTATAGTACTAAAATGGTTTTGGGCATACCTAGTGATACAAGGGGTTAAATCTTAACACTATGAATCTATCAGTAGCCACTGCGGCACGAGTTTGAATCCCAGCCAGGGAGGTGACCCACAAGCCTCCTGTCTCACCCACTTCACCCCTCAGCAGCGTGTTTCAGTAGATCTGCCTGTTCTGCTCCCAACTCTCTGGTGAATCTTCTCACCACCCCCACAGTTCTGGCCTATACCCCAGTTCTTATATACATAAATAAATTAATCTTTAAAACTTTGAAATTAAGTGATCTTGTTTTATGAATTATGCACCAGTAAAAGTTTTTTAAAAAATAAGACATGCACTCTCCCTGATGGTATAATGGGTTAAAGTGCAGCACTATGAAGCTGTCTGAAGTCACTGCAGTGCAAGTTCAATTCCTGGCCAGGAAAGTGACCCACATGGCTCAGTAGACCTCTCCTGTTTTGCCCACTGCTCCCCTTAGCAGTGGTTTTCAGTAGATCTGCTGATCTGCTCCCTACTCTGTCTCTGGTGAATCCTCTACCCTCCACACCTCTGGCCTGTCCCTAGTTCTTATATGCATAAATAAATAAATCTAAAAAATAAATAAAACATATAAGGATCTTGAAACAATACAATATATGACATTACTGTACCCCACTATAATGGTTATAATGTAAAATGATACTACTGACAGCTTTCTGAACTAAAATATGCATCAACACTGATGTAAATATACTATAATAATTTCATTCTTAAGAAAAAAATTTGTATGTGCAGAAAATTACTTATAAAAGAATGTTCATAGCTGCTTTATTCATAATAACCAAAAACTGAAAGCAGCTTTCTATCAACAACATCTGATGACATACTTTATGAAGACTACTAATAATAAGGAATGAATTCTTTAAAAAAAATTTATTTATGCATACCAATTACTGAACAGTAGTAAAAATAAAATCACACCTAAATAAAATGAAGTACATCAAACTCACAAAAATTACAGGCCAGAGGTACCAAGGGTGAAAGGATTCACCAGAGACAAAGTGGGAAACAGAATGACTGAAATGCACTGCTGAGGGGAGCAGTGGGAGGGAGAAGTTTGCCAAACCATGTGGGTCAGCTCCCTGGCCTGGGATCAAACTCATGCTGCAGCAGCTGCGGTAGCTTCATAGTGCTGCCCTTTAACCATTGTGCCAACAGGGGAAAGCCAGGAATGAATTTTTGATATATATGACAACACAGATAAACCTCAATAAACAGTAAAGTGAATGAAAGAAGCCAAACACAAAAGAATACTGAATATTTTATTTATATGCAGTTCTAGAAGAGGAAAAACTAAATTATAGTGATAAATTTGGGGGAAAGAAGGCTAAGTGAGAAGTGCCATGAGGAAATCTTTGGAATATCTTCTCTAAATTAAGTGATAATTATATATCAGCAAAAAATGTAAAGAGAGTTTAAGAGTCATGGAAGACTGACGGAATAACAGAGTAACGGTAAAAGAAATTAGAAAAAAGAAGGAATGACAAAATATTTAATAAGATTATGGCTGAAATTGTCTTAAAACTGGAAAAAAATTATAAATCTCATATAAAGCATACCAACTACTGAACAGTAGTAAAAATAGTCACACCTAAACAAAACGACGTACATCAAACTCACAAAAACTACAAACCTCAACCCTTAAGAAAGAATTGAGAGTATGATCTTCAAAAAGTTGAAAAAAGGTAATTATTGATCTAAAATTCTATAATTTAAAAATGCATTCCATTAAAAAAAACAAATCCAGAGAGATAAAGGCAGTGCTATAAATTGAATTATATCTCTCCAAATTAATATTTTGAAGCTTCAATCCCCAATATGATGGCCTCTGTGAGACAATTAGGTTTAGAGGAATTCAAAACCTATGCATAGCCCTCATGATGGAACTAGTGCCTTTATAGACACCAGAGAGCTTGTTCTCTATTACGTGAGAACACAGAAATCTGCCATCTGCAAGGAAAAAGAGCCTTCATCAGAACTTAAAATTTTCTTGGTCAAATGGATAGCTATATGGGAAAATAAATATGCCTTGATCCATTCCTTAAGTCACATATAAAGAGCAATTCCAGTGACTCTCCCTGGTGGCACAATGGGTTAAAAGCACAGCACTATGAAACTATCAGCAGCCACTGTTGCATGAGTTTGATCCCAGGTCACAGAGGCAACCCACAAGGAGTAGCTGACCTCTCCTGTCTCACCTGCTGCTCCCCTTAGCACTGCATTTCAGTAGATCTGCCTG